AAATGCATACATGCAGCAGACACACAGAGAAAGACCCTCTGCACAGCAGATGGGGGTAGGGGGTGGGAGGTGTGTGTCGGGCGGTGAGACTCAGGACTGGGAAAGCCGGAAAATTCAGTGTCTTCTTGAGGGCTGGAGGTTTTAAAGCCTTGGGAGAATTTTCCTCCCTACTTCAGGGTTCCTGAGTTTGAAGAAAGGTAGAATGGTTGATTGCAGAGCTGGAGAGATAGATGGCTCAGAGGTTAAGAGCACTGACTGATCTTCCAGAGGTCCTGAGTTCAATTCCCAGCAACCACATGGTGGCTCACAACCATCTGTAATGAGATCTGGCGCCCTCTTCTGGCTGCAAGCATACATGCAGGCAGAATACTGTATACATCATAAATAAATAAATCTTAAAAGAAAAAGAATGGTTGATTGCCCCAGAACTGCTGTCTGACACGTCCTGATCCATCCGTCCTTAAACTTGTGGAAATAGTCCTTTAGCAGCCCAATTCCGATGGCAGACAAAAGCAAGCCGGGCTTTTGTCTCATTAAGGAAGAAGCGGCCATCTTGGAAAATTTGCCCCTCTGTCTGTCTGTCTAACAGAGAGTCTGTCTCACTCTTAGTCTCTCAAATCTTAATATGAAAAACAAAACAAAACAAACAATGAACAAGCAAATAGGACCTGCGCCAGCCATCCAGAACTTGAGAGAGATTCCAATTCAAGGCTATTGAGGGCCACATAGGAACCACATAAACGAGCTTCCCAGTCAGACCATGCTGCTGCTGCTGCTGCTGCTGCTGGTGGTGGTGGTGGTGGTGTGTGTGTGTGTGTGTGTGTGTGTGTGTGTGTGTGTGTGTGATTTTTAACCCCGGCACCTTGGAGCCGGGCTGTGGTGGCGTACGCCTTTAGTCCCAGCACTCGGGAGGCAGAGCCAGGTGGATCTCTGTGAGTTTGAGGCCAGCCTGGACTACAGAGTGAGTACTAGGAAAGGCACCAAAGCTACACAGAGAAGCCCTGTCTCGAAAAACTGGAGAAAAAAAAAAAAAAAAAAAAAAAAGAATGGCGCCTTGGTGGCTACTGAGCATCGGCAACTCAATGATAAAGCAGCCTTGTAGTTGGTAAGCCGGCTGGCAGAGTGCTTGCCTGTCAAACATGACGTCAGTTCCATTCCCAGCACTATATAAACGCTTAAACAGGGTGGGTGATGGCGCACGTCTGTAATCCACAACCGAAGTTTAGGACTCGAAGGACAGAGGATCAGAATTCTGCTCAATAGCTGCACAACCAGTTTGAAGACAGCCTGGGTTTGTCATCTGCAGGGCAGCCATGAAGTCACAGGTGTCCTCAGGCCATTACGCTAGAAGCTGGACCCTCATACACCACAGAAAGTGTAAGAGGCAAGATCCAGGATGAGGAAGGAATTCCTCCTGGCCACCTTGTGGGCAAGCAGCTGGAAGATGGACATGTTTGTCTGACTACAACATTCAAGAGGAGTCCATTCTTCATCTTGTGTTGAGACTTTGAGGTGATGTGGTCCCTTGCGGGCTAGTTTTATGTCAACTTGACACAAGCTAGAGTCATCAGAGAGGAGGGAACCTCAATTGAGAAAATACCCCCAAAAGATCAGACTGCAGGCGAGTCTGTAGGGCATTTCCCTAAATTAGAGATTGATGAGGGAGGTCCCATTGTGGGTGGGACCATCCCTGGGCTGGTGGTCCTGGGTTCTATAAGAAAGCAGACTAAGTCATGAGGAGCAAACCTTATAAGCAGCACCCCTCCGTGGCCTCTGTATCAGCTCCTGCCTCCAGGATCCTGCCCTGCTTGAGTTTCTGTCCTGACTTCCTTTGATGAACAGTGGTGTGGCCCTGTGAGTCAAACAAACCCTTTCCCTGAAAGTTGCTTTTGATCTTGGTGTTTTATCACAACAACAGGAACCCTGACTAAGTCAGGTGCTAAGAGAAGTCTTACACCCTCCCATCAAGAATAACCAAAAGGTTGGCTGCTTGTGCTGATACTAGAAGGCGGATGAAAACGGCAAAATGAGTCTCCGTGGTTGAGAGCACCCTTCAGATGACTGTGACGCTTGTGGCCACTGTGACAGAAAAAAATATGTGTCTTCGTCAGGATTTCTATTGCTGTGGTGAAAACACCATGACCAAAAGCAGCTTGGAGAGTAAAGGGTTAATTCGGCTTACACTGTCACACCATTGTTCATTATCAAAGGAAGTCAGGACAGGAACTCAAAACAGGGCAGGATCCCGGAGGCAGGAGCTGATGCAGAGGCCATGGAGGGGTGCTGCTGACTGACTTGCTCATCATGGCTTGCTCAGCCTGCTTTCTTATAGAACCCAGGACCACCAGCCCAGGACTGGCACCACCCACAGTGGCCTGTGCCCTCCCACATCAATCACTAATTAAGAAAATGCCCTGCCGGGCGGTGGTGGCACACGCCTTTAATCCCAGCACTCGGGAGGCAGAGGCAGGCGGACCTCTGTGAGTTCGAGGCCAGCCTGGGCTACCAAGTGAGTTCCAGGAAAGGCGCAAAGCTACACAGAGAAACCCTGTCTCGAAAAACAAAAACAAAAACAAAAAAAATGTCCTTCAGGCTTGCCTACAGACCGATCTTATGGAGGCATTTTCTCAATTAGGGTTCCCTCCTCTCAGGTATTTCTAGCTTGTGTCAAGTAGACATAAAATTAGCCAATACAATAGGAGAGAGGAAAAACATTTAAAAACCCACAAAACAGCAACAAGACCAAAAAGCACTCCCCCGAAACTAATTAATGTCCTGTACAAAAATAATATATAAAATAAAATGAAATCACATTGTTTGAAGTGTTCTGTTCACCTGGATATAAGTAATTTGGAATTCTCCATCTTCTATAGTTTAGCCCAAACTTCCTAGAGGTTGAACTCTAATTAATAGTAAATTAAGCCAGGTGATAGTGTTTCTTCACCTTCAGAATGAGCGAGTGGCAGACAGCCACACCAGCAGTAGCAGAGACCCCAGACATTGAGCTTTCTGGGAAAGGGAGCGCTGATGACGTGCAGATCAACTGTATTTCTCTTCAGGATACATTGCAGTGGAAAAGTGTCCTGCACTCCCTCCCCCCCTAACAGGGCTGAGAGGTGTGGAAAGCGCAGTGCCCCATCCCGGGGCACCTCCCTAACTCCATGATGATGCACACAGCTCATGACTGCACACATAGTCAAGCATGCCTTTGAGATCGTCCACCTGCTCACTGGTGAAAAACCCTCTGCAGGTCCTCCTGGTGAATGACATCCTCAACAGTGGCCCCCGGGGAAAGACTCAACACGCTTTGGATGCGCAGGGACAGGAGGCGGCAGGCTGTGGGTGTGTCCCCGCCCGGTGATTCAGACCATCCTGCTGCTGCACACAGGTGCTCCCGAGGTCCCTCCGGAACATCCAGACCACATCGCCGAGTGCTTTGCCGATGAGGTCATCCGTGCCAGTCAGGGCTCCTCCAACTCCCACGCCGTCAAGAAGCATGAGCTGGACCGTGTGGCCAAGTCTAACTGCTCATTTCCCAGCTGCTGCCCAATAAATTGTGTGTCCTCTGGGACAACTGAAAAAAAAAATAAAAAAAGAGGCGGGAGGCGTGGGCACACCTGTAACTCCAGCACTTGGGTGTGAGCAGGAGGCCGAGGAAGCTACATAGTGAGTGAGACCCTGTCTCAAAGAGGGATCTTATTCTGCCCTCGAATATCTAGCCTTCAGTCTCCTCGACTCATTTTACTAAAAATATAATTTATTCGATTACTGAGTTTTTTGTCACCCTCTTAAACCGTGTACCCCTAATAAAAACATCTCACCCTGGTCTTCGTGTTGGTCCTTCAACGGCAAATTCCTTTCCAACGTGTTTTTTTGTTTGTTTTTTGAGATAGGGTTTTTTCTGTGCAGCCCTGGCTGTCCTGGAACTCACTCTGTAGACCAGGCTGGCCTCGAACTCCCGAGTGCTGGGATTAAAGGCATGCACCACCACCGCCTAGCCTTTCTATTATTATTATTTTTTTTAATAATTATTATATTTTTTAAAGCCAGTCAGCGGCAGCACACGCCTTTAACCCCAGCACTGGCAAGGCAGAGGCAGTCGGATCTCTGTGAGTTCCAGGACAGCCAAGGCTACATGGTGAGGGGTTGTGAATTTTTTTTCTTTTTAACTCAGGCTTCAGTCCCAGAGCTGCACTGATACAGGCCAATATTTAAATGGCTGCCACTCTGGTGTTTAGGGGAGCCGTTTGTAGTATGAATCACCAGAATCCATGCTTGTTTTATTTGTTCGTTAAGATCTTTATTTCAGATAAGACATCAAAAATAAGATGATTTCTTTATTGCATGTGTGTGCACGCAGGTAGGTGCTGCTGTGTCACGGTGCTTCTGTGGAGCTCTGAGGACAACCGCAGGCAGCCACTCTCTCCTGCCACCTTGTGGGAGTTGAGGATGGAACTCGGGCTATCAGGCCTGATACAAACTCCTCTCAGCAGGCTTACTAAGTTACCCAGGCTGGCTTTGAACTTGCGACCCTCCTGCCTCAAGGCTCCTGAGTACCTAGGACTGTAGTAGGCACGTGCCATTGTACCAGGCCAGGACTGACGTAATTGCCTGTCAGGGAACTGTCTTCTGTTGGTTGCAGGACTCATGTAGCCCAGGCTAGTGTCTCTCTCTCTGTCTCTCTCCCTCTCTCCCCCCTCTCTGTCTGTTTCTGTGTCTCTCTCTCAGACAGACACACAGACACAGACACAGACACAGACACAGACACAGACACACACACACACACACACACACACACACACACACACACACACACAATGGTGAGCTGCCTAACGTGGATGCTGAGAACAGAACCCGGATCCTCTACAAGGGAGATAACCAATGATCATCTCCAGCCCCTTCTGTGAAAACTAAATGCATCACAGCAAATTAAATAGTCTGCAGAGACACGGGCCACAGCAGTGCTCCGCTTGGGACGCCTCAAAGAAACCTGTTTTTCCTCTCGGGGGTCTGGAAGTGGAATGGATGGGAGATAAAGGAGAAGAGTTTGCCTTAGCGAGGAGCTGTGAGAATCTCTTAAAAAAGCAAACGAGAAGGCACAGGACTGCAACCCCAGCTTTCGGAAGTAGAGGCAGGGGGATGACTAGAAATAGAAATCGCCCAAAGAAGTTAGCAAGATCCCTTTTTCTTGCGTCCTTCCTTACTGTATACTTAGGACCAATGGAGAAAAAGACACTTAGTAAACACACTGTATTGAAAGTTGCAACTGTGAATCCCAAGTAGCTGGAGAAGAATCTGACTTTTAGACCCGCATTATTCAGTCTCCGTAGAGACTGTCAAAAATTGCCAATGCCGACTATATTTCAAGTCGTCATGGCGGGGTATTGGGAAAAGTTTTCAATTAGCAATAATCGCGCCTCGGATAAACCTCATTGGCTACGATACTGCCACTGCGCAAAGCTGGAGATGGACCGGGCTCGCTCAGCTTCCCAGGGCCGGAGATGCCCATCCCGGTCACGGTGAGCTGCCGCCCACGCGCGACCGCCACGTGACGGGCGCTGACCCTGCCCTTTCGCCTCCGGCGTCCGCGTGGACAGATCCTGGCCGGTGGGTTATCTCGGGCCCGGACGCTCGTGATTTACAAAGAGCGCAGCCGCCGCTTGGGATGCTGGGGCGACGCTTATGCAAATCGAGGCGACGTCATCGCGAAGGCCCGGGGTGGAGACTCCACCGCGGTGGGAGAAAGCTTACGGGTAAGCCGAAGGGGACCGGCGTGCGGTCGGATGCAGAAACAGACCTTTGGTGGGGAGAGCGGGGCATCAAGACTTGTCTGAAACCCCAGCACTCGAGTAGCCAAGGCAGGAGGATTGCCGCGAGTTTCAGGCTAGTCACGGATACACCGTGAGAGATCCGGAGGCGGAGACCGGAGGATTGTTGCGAATTCTCAGTCATCCAAGTGAGAAGACCCCTCTCTCAATAAATCTGAGATTTCTTTTAAATGAGCGACCGGGAGAGAGTTTTATCTCCGAAACTTCAGGAAAATAAAATTCCAAATGCATACTCGGTTAGCACCTCGAGCAAAAAAACACGTTAACAGAGATCGTTTTTGTTACTGAAAATAGTAACAGAAGCAAAGAGACAAAGATGCAAGACAGAAAAAAAGTAACAAAAGCAAAGAGACATAAATGTAGGACAAAGAAAAATTAGTAACAAAAGCAAAGAGACAAAAGTGCAAGAGGAGAATGATACAATTAAATGTTTCATGGAAAGAAAAGAAAAGCACTAAGCACTCACCGAGCAGAGAAGTTGGAACAGCTTTTCTTTGAACCGGGGTTATTCAGTCTCCGTAGAGACTGTCAAAAATTGCCAATGCCGACTATATTGCAAGTCGTCACGGCGGGGTATTGGGAAAAGTTTTCAATTAGCAATAATCGCGCCTCGGATAAACCTCATTGGCTACGATACTGCCACTGCGCAAAGCTAAAGATCGCCGCCCCCTGCGCATCATCGCTAGGAAGCGAGGCTCCCGTTTCAGAAAGGGGGGTTCGAGTCGAATGGAAAATCCTTCGGTTATTGTTAGCCGGGACATTATACCGCCGCATATACTCTCATGGTGCTCTCTGTGTGATGCCCAGGAGGGAGATTACTGTTTAATTTAAGTAGGTGTACGTGGGGAAACTGCAGCAAAGCACTATGGGAAGGAACATGCTAATAGGCTCAGTTCCGAGCGTGCAAGGGGCAATCGGAGGAACCGGCCCGAGTCAAGGTGTTCTTTTGGCTGCATGATACCACCTTTTCCAAGGAGGCTTTCTTGTTTATGATTTTATGCACAATAAAATATGTGTATAAAGTCTACATAACATAAAATGTAGTTTTAACTATCTTAAGGGTAAATTTACATGTATCTCCAGAACCTTTTGATCTTCCCAAACTAAAACTTTGTAGACATGAAACTCTGGGCTCCCTAGCCCTTTTCATGCCCAGCCCTTCTGGCAACCGCTCTCACTCTAGATACTTGACATAACTGGAAACCCACGTAATGTGTGTGTTTCTCTTGCTGTAAGAATTCTTTCTAAGCTGGGCATGGTGGCGCACACCTTTAATCCGAGTACTTGGGAGGCAAAGGCAAATGGATTTCTCTGAGTTTGAGGCCAACAAAGACTACAACGAGAGACCCTGTCTACGGAAAGGGGTGGGGGAAGAGTTATTGATAAGATTTATTTATGTGTATGAATGTTTTTCTTGCACATATGTGCCTCATAGGAATGCCTGGTACCCGTGGAAGTCAGAAGAAGGTATCAGATCCCGGAGTCACACAGGTTTGTGAGCCACCACGTGGGTGTTGGGAACCAAACCCAGATCCTCTACAGGAGCAGCCAGTGCTTTAACCACTACATCATCTCTCTCCAATCGCTTATTGTAACTCTTGGTGTGTGTGCCTCCGCCTTCCAAGTGCTGGGATTAACGGTGTGTGCCACCACTGCCCAGGCTACTGTAACAATTTGTGACTCATCTGTTTTATAATACATATCTGGATTTCATGCCTTCTTATGGCTCAATAATTTTCCATCTAATGGAATTGTATTTACCTATTTATTTCTCCAATTAGCAATAACGGCGCTTTCAGTCAACCTCATTGGCTGTACACTTGGATTGTTTGAACCTTTTGTCTAATACAGTAATGCTGATATTGGTGTACAAGTTTCAGTTTGAGTTCCTGTTTTCAATTACAAGTGTTTTATTATTATTATTACATTTCTTTGCGTGTGTAAGTGTGTGCAGGTCTGAGGACAACTTGTAGGAGGTAGTTCTCTCTTTCCACTCTGTGGGTCCCAGGGATTGAATTCACCCCAGGGCGGAAGATTAAAGGCCACCACATCCAAGCCCTCCCCTTGGTGGCGTAAGAAATGAAGCCCAGCTGGAGGCTGGAGAGATGGCTCAGAGGCTAGGAACACTGGCTGTTCCTCCAGAGGTCCTGAGTTCAATTCTCAGCAACCACCTGTAGTGAGGCCTGGTACCCTCTTCTGGCCTGCAGACAGAACACTGTATACATAATAAATAAGTTAAAAAGAAAGACAGAAATCAAACCAAGGTGGGCTTTCTAACACTTTTGTGAAAATACTTTAATTCTGAGGAGAGAGGCTAAATGGCTCTATTCCCTAGAAATGCTGCAGCATATAAAATGTGAAGTAAATTTCTTTGCCTGTTTTTACTTTGGAGAGTAGAAAGCTGTTCATAACCTGTGTCTGAACGTCTTTCCTGAGGGATGTTCTCCATTTTGATTTTGATTTTTGTTACTTATTGAAATTCAAACAGTATAGCCAGGAGGTAGTGGCACATGCCTTTAATCCTGACACTTGGGAGGCCAAGGCAGGTGGATCTCTTGTGAGTTGGAGGTCAGCCTGGGCTACAGAGCTAGTGCCAGGACTGTTACACACACACACACACACACACACAAAAAAAAAAAAAAAAAAAAAAA